CCCGCCTTTATTTTATCATTTTGTGTGTAAGTCTGTCTTGTCTGCCTACATGTGTGTGCAACATGTGTATGACTGTGCCCACAGGTCAGAAGACTCCCCGTGGGACCTGAGTTATAGACAGCTGTAAGCTACAAATACCCTTAACCTCTGAGTCAACTTTCCAGCCCTTATTCTTATATTTAAAAAAAGTAATCAATTGACTAATTAATTTACTAGCTAACTAAATGATTAATTAGGAAGGAGTGTGTGTATATGCCACAGCTCATGTTTGAAGGCCAGAGCACAAGTCGCAAAGAGGCAGTCCTCGCCTCCCATCATACGGGTCTTGGGAACCAAACTCAGGACACCAGGCTCGACAGCGCCTTTACCTGCTCAGCCATCTGAGCCGCGAGACATCTGGTTTGTGTGGTACCGACATATGAACTAACTCAGGCCTCCACCAACTGGTATGCCTCTCGCCCCCAAACACATTCTTGTCTATTTTTCTATTGATGAATGGTTTTACAGAACATTACCTACATATGAATTTCTACTTTTTTTCCATGCCATTGTTGCTTCCAACCTCTCATGATTACACAAATTATATACCTTTTGGTTATTTCACTCTTACACAAAGGACATTGTGAAGGCCCTTTCTTCTGGTTAAGAAGTTTCAGCATACAAAATCTATAAATTAGAAAGAAAGAAAGAAAAAAAACAACAATTTAAGTTAATTTTCTTTTGTAGAAAGAACACCCAAAAAGTAACAGCCATGAAGATAATTTCACAACTGCCCTTAAGAGTCATTTAAAGGGTAATGACAGGTAAATTACAATGATTTTTCAGTAATTATTTTTAGATGCTGCATAAGCAGAAAATGAAGCCATGTAAGAAAGAACCTATGAAAACCGAGCTTAACCTGCATATGACTTACTATTATGATCAAACAAAACATTAAAAAATTAACACAGCATATTTAATGATATATTCATAATTATTTCATGCAGTATAATCAGATAGAAATGATTAAGTAGCTAATATAAAATGGTTGTATTCGTTTAAAAGCTCATCGCCTAGGGTCTGGGCTATATACACTTCAGTGATAAAGCACCTGCCTAGTATACACAAGCCCAGGTTTGCCCCCGGGACCAAGTAAAAGAATCTCTGTGGCTGACAATAAATCTACAGTAGCTAAGACAATAAGGTTCTAAAGCTAGGTGCCGTGGCACACCTTTAATTCCAACACCCGGGAGGTAGAAGCAGGTGAATCTGAGTCCAAAGTCAGGTTGGTCTACAGAGTGAGTTCCAGGACAGCCAGGCCTACCCAGTGAAACCCTGTCTCAAAAGCAAACAAACAAAAAACCCCAAGAAAAATAAAAAAAATAAGTCGATCATACACAATATATAGTTTAACAAGCACTGATATAGAAGCCAACAACAACAATTATTTCCATTATTACTTTCTTTCCCCCATCCTCCACCCCAAAACAAGGTTTCTCTGTCTAGACTGTCTAGACCTGTCTAGACCTGAAATCCACTCCATAGACCAGGCTGGACCCACAAGGATCCACTTGTCTGAGTGTGGGCCTAAAGGTGCGCCGGGCTCCATTATTATCATCATTATTATTTTAATGTAAACTTCTTGAAGCAGAATCACACAGCTATGTTGCCTTGGACCACGGCCAGAGAGAAGTGGCAGAAGCCATCAAGAAACTCATGGGACTTTATCTAAACCAGTGAGGTAACATGGAAAAAGAACAAGACAGTGGAAATAGACCTCTGGATCCTTGTTTGGGAGAGAAGGATGGGAAGAATCAGAATTCAGAAAGGGGGCTGGAGAGATGGCTCAGAAGTTAAGAGCACTGAACCGGGTGGTAGGGGCGCATGCCTTTAATCCCAGCACTTGGGAGGCAGAGGCAGGAGGATTTCTGTGAGTTTGAGGCCAGCCTGGTCTGTAAGAGCTAGTTCCAGGAGAGGCTCCAAAGGTACAGAGAAACTCTGTCTCGAAGAAAAAACAAACAAACAAAAAACCCAAAGAAGTTAAGAGCACTGGCTGCTCTTCCAGAAGATCTGGGTTCAATTCCCAACACCCACAGGGCGGGTCACAACCAGTTGCAATTCTAGTTCTAGAGGATCCAACACCTTCTTCTGGCCTCCATGGGCACCAGGCACACACATGGTACATAGTCATCCAGGCAGGCAAAACACTCATACATATAAAACAATAAAATTTAAAAGAAAAAATTCTTTCTTTTTCCCTTCCTCCTCCTCCTCTATCTCTTTCCCTCTTTCTAAAACAGGGTCTTATGCTATAATCCAGGCTGGCCTGGAACTCACTATGTAGCCCATGTGTGACGGCTATTCTTGGTTATCAACTTAACTACATATGGAATTAACTAAAACTCAAATAGCTAGCCACACCTATGAGGGCTTATTTTTCTCCCTCAATTAAATCATTTGAAGCAGTTAGAGCTACCTTTAATCTGGTAATCTGGGCCATGCCTCCTGCTGGCAGCCTATATAAAGGACATAGAAGGAAGCTTGCTTTCTTTTTGTCTACTTGCTCTCAATAGCAGGTCCATTACTTCCCTGTCACTAGAGGCCAATTCTTTGGGCTTCTGGTGTGTATTGAAGACCAGCTAAGACATCCAGCCTTCTGGACTAAAAAACTACTGGATTCTTGAGCCTTCCATTGGTAAATAGCCTATAAGGCATTCTAATAAATAACCCTATATATTTTCACACACCACACTAAACACACACACACAGAGAGAGAGAGAGAAAGAGAGAGAGAGATCCGCCTACCACACCCCAAATGCACTCTTTCTACTTCTCATTCATGTGTCAGGATGTGAGCTCTCGGCTGCTGTTTCAGCACCATGCCTGCCTGCACACTGCCATGCTCCTGCCCTGACACAGTGGTGGACTCCTAGCTCTCTAGGACTGTACGCTCCAATTAAATGCTTCCTTCTATAATCTGCCTTGGTTACAGTGTTTTCTCATAGCAACAGTAACTAAGACACATTGTAAACCATCATGTCTGGCTTAAATATTTTCATTTTAAAGGCAACATACAGCTAGATGTGTTGGCTCATTATTTAGGAGGCAGAAGCAGGAGGATCACAATAAGTTCAAAACCAGTCTGGTCCACACAGTGAGTTGAAGGTTACACAGGGTTACAGAAGTGAGTCTCAAAAAACAAGAGAAAGGAAAGCAACAACAAAAAAGGAAAAAGAAAAATCAAACACTCCTAGGGAAGACAGCTTCCTTCAGAGAGAGACCCTGACACAAGAGAAAGGCAAAAGGATCAAGAAGGCAAGGGGATAACAACAAAAAAAGCAGCAGCATAGAGCCAGGAGTCAAGGAGTGTGGACTGTCAGGAGCTGCCTCCAGACGGAAGCAACTCTGCCAACAGTGGCATTTTAGCTCCTTAAGACTCATTTTGAATTTCTGACAGCTAGAACTGCAATAACACCGGGAACTGTTTAAACAAACAACAAAAAGGACAAAATTCTTAATAGTCATCCCTCAGAATGGGGGAGATAGGTCCCAGGAATACCAAAATCTTTGGATACTCAATCCCCTGATATAAAAAGATATATAGTTTATTTAAAATACATAATATAAAAAATACAAATGATGGGGCTGGAAAGATAGTACAGTGGTTAAGAACACTAGTGTTCTTCCAGGGGACCTGAGTTTACTTCTCAGCACCCATATGTGGCAGATCACAACTGTCTCTAACTCCAGCTCTGGGAGATCAACACCCTCCTCTAGCCTCCATGGGTACCCATACATTTGTGCACGCACACATTCACATAAACATAGACACACAATGTAGACACAATTTGTTTCCTGAATATTTTCGACCCACGGTTGGTTGACTCAGCCAATACATAACCACCTCTAAATATGAAGGGCCATACGGAACTAGAATCATTGATATTAATGAACTGTAGCCTAAATACACAGTATTCATATCTCTATCTTCACCAGCATCATGACACAGGTAAACACTGTACCTTTTTAGTGGGAAGAGCAGGACATAAACAGAAATGACAAACTGGGAAGGCTGAACAAAATGTGCTTATTTCACAATTGCTTTCAGTCTACATTCACCCTTGGACACCAAAAACAAACGAAACAGCTGTTCAAAGGGACGCTACAGATTCTTTTAGATAAGCAATGTCAAAACTTTACCAAGAACTATGGTGATGGCCAATATATACAATAAATTCATAATTACTCCCTGAGGAAGAAAAACAAGTTTAACTGAAAAACCAATGCCTCCATAAAGCTGTGTAATGATAAACACGCACAAAAGTTAATAACGGATCCACAAAATTGTTCACTTACTTGCAAAATATGTGATCGCACTTTGTGGAAATGGGTTCTTTGATCAAGTCCAAACTAGACAAGTACAAGGACAAAGTAGAGAGAGAGAAAAAAAATAAATAAATGAGGTTAAGTTCTTTTTTTTTTTTTTTTTTTTTTTGGTTTTTCGAGACAGGGTTTCTCTGTGGTTTTGGAGCCTGTCCTGGAACTTGCTCTGTAGACCAGGCTGGTCTCGAACTCACAGAGATCCGCCTGCCTCTGCCTCCCGAGTGCTGGGATTAAAGGCGTGCGCCACCACTGCCCGGCGAGGTTAAGTTCTTTATAAGCAAATGTTTTTTTAAGTAGAGGTTCAGCTTTAAGTTGCTATAACTGAGCCTGAGTATAGATTTAAGGGAATGGTTCTTCACTTGGGGGGGTGTCAAATCACCCGTTCACAGGGGTCACCTAAGATCATCGGAAAACACGTATTTACATTATGATTCGTAACAGCAGCAAAATCAGTTACTGAGTAGCAGTGAAATAATTTTATGGTTGGGTATAGTGATATTTTTGCTTTAACAAATAAAGCTTACCTGAAGATCAGAGTGCAGAGCTAAGCCACTAGAGGCAGTGGTGGCACAAGCCTTCAATGCCAGTACCTGGGAGTTCAATGCCTTTAATCCCAGCACTAGGGAGGTAGAGATAGGAAGGGATGTGGCTGGGTGGAGAGAGGAATACAATGTGGGAGGAGATGGGAGCTCGGTACAGTCTAAGGTGCGGTCTGAAGCAGTCAGACAGAGGACAAAGTCTGAGTATACAGTCCGAGGATTCCTAGAGACAGAATCTCAACCCTTTCGGTCTGAGCATTGGTAGAGGTAAGAACTCTACAGCCTGGCTGGCTGCTTTGCTTCTCTGATCCTGCTTTTAACCTCAAATATCTGACTCTGAGTTTTTATTATTAAGACCAGTTAGAATTTGTGCTACAGTTGGGGGTCACCATAGCACGAGGAGCTGCATTAAAGAGTTGCAGCATTAGGAAGGTTGAGAACCATGATTTAGGACAATTTAATATTAAAGGTCTGTCACGCTGGGAGCAAGGGACAAGGAGAAAGTATGATCTTGTTGGGTGTGGAGAAGCCTCCAGCCCCGTGGAGGCAAGAGCACGCAGCTCTATCCTGAGAGTTCCAGACGAGCCAGGCCTCCACATCGAGACCCTGTCTCAAACAGAACAAAACAACCAAACAAAGATCCTTCACTGAGCATTCAGAAACATAACAGAAATGCTGATCTCTTCAAAGATCTACCTTATTGCTAGCATTGAAAAGATTAGCTAGGTTGGGAATGAAGCTCAGCAGTAGAGCACCTCCCTAGCACGTTCAAGGCCCTGGGTTTAACAATTCCCAACCCCCACTACAAGCCAATTTCATATTGATTATTCTCACTTTTTCAGCCAGCATTTTGAGTGCATATCCTGAATCTTAACTAAACGCCACAAATGGAAAGCTTGTGCACAGTGTGGTAGTGCATCCCCACAGTTCCAGAACTTGAGAAATAGAAGCAGGAGAATGAAGAGTTCAAGGTCATCCTCAGCTAAAAAGCAAGGTCAAGGTCAGCCTTGGCCACAGAAATCCTGTCTCAAAAAATCAAACCAGTGGCTGCAAAGATGGCTCTGTGCTGACAGCACTTGTTACTTTCCCAGAGGACCTAACCAGTTCCCGGTACCCGTATCACCTGGCTCGTAACTGTCAGCAGCCACAGTTCTAAAGGACCTGATACATGTTCCTGGCCTCTCCAGGAACCCAAACACATGTGACATACCCTGACATGGATGGACACACATAAAAAAACCTTAAAAAAAGAAAGTAACTTTTGCCTTGTAGTAATCTTTCCCTTAGTTCTAAGATTTTTTAAAATATTGACTTTTGTGTGCATGTGTGCCAGAGGATGTATGTGGGCCACATTTATGTACTGTCCTTGTCCTTGGGAGCCAGGTGTCAGAGTTCCTGCACTAGAGTTACAGGCTGTGGTGAATCTCCTGATGTGGGTGCTGGGAACTGAACCCGTGTCCTCTGGAAGGAGCAGCTCTTCTGCCTCTGCAGCCCCAGTTAAAAGTTTTCACTTGAACTGTGTGTGAATACATGTATAGAGGCCAGAACCATTCTGGAGTTAGTTCTCTCCATATTTATAAGGGGTACACGGATCAAATTAAAGTCACCAGGCTTGTGCAGCAAGTGCCTTTACCCACCAAGCCCACACCATCCCTAACAAAATATGAACCATCCCTTTGTGCCTTACAAATGCTAGGCAAGTGCTCTCCCACTGAACGACAGTCCTAGCTCTGCTTTACTAAGTAACTGGTGACAAGTCAGGTATGACATCAAATCAGATGCCAGGATATCAAAGTGTTTGTGACCAAGTAACCTTAATTTTACTTAATATGGTCCCAAAGGCTACCAGTGATGATGTCGGTTTTCTCTTCTCCCCTCCTAATCACTGTCTCACTATGAAGGTTAGGCTAGCTTTGAATTCATGATCCCATTTGACTCAGTTATCAAGTCCTGGGATTCTAAGGCATATGACACCATACTAGGCTGGTAATTTAGATATGCCACAACAAGGCTATAAAATGTTCCCTGTAAATGAAAAGGTAAAAGTTCATTGAAGGCATGTATGCATATAGATTTTTTTTTCCCCATAGTGTAAGCAGGGTTCAGTACTAGTTGAGTTTTTAGACACCCACTAGGAATCCTGGAATGTACCCCACCTATGGATACGTCAAGCCTACTGTACTTTTTTTTTTTTTTGATTGCCTCACAGCACCTTAAAATGTATTTATCAGGCAACAGTGGTGCATGCCTTTAATACCAGCACTATGGAGGCAGAGGCAGGTGGATCTCTGTGAGTTTGAGGCCAGCCTGGTCTACAAGCCAGTGCTGTTACACAGAGAAACCCTGTCTTGGAAAACAAACTAAAATGTGCCTATTTACTCCGTGTGTACAGTGGGCAATGCAAGAGAGAATGCACTTGTTATGGTGCACCCGTGGAGGTCAGAGAACAATGAGCGGGTCCTGAGGATCAGACTCAGGTCGGTGGGCGCGGCAGTAAGAGCTTTCCCCTGCAGAGCTATCTTACTGCATAGGATCATTTTTTTTTTTTTTTTGGTTTTTCGAGACAGGGTTTCTCTGTAGCTTTTGGAGCCTGTCCTGGAACTCCCTTTGTAGACCAGGCTGGCCTCGAACTCACAGAGATCCGCCTGCCTCTGCCTCCCAAGTGCTGGGATTAAAGGCGTGCGCCACCACCGCCCGGCTGTTTTTTATTTTTTGAGACGAGCTTTCTCAAAACAGCTCTGGCTGTCCTGAAACACACTTTGTAGACCAGCCTGGCCTCAAACTCACAGAGATCTACCTGCCCCTGTCCCCCAAATGCTACGATTAAAGACAGGTGCCACACCACTACCTGGCTTGGAATTGTCTTTTTAACTGAGTATGAAAAAGTTCAAGCATTTGTACAAAAAAAAAAAAAATAGGAAAATGAACTGCATGTACTATCATCCTGAAGGAGAAATGTGTTCAGCAGAAAAACCATGTGGGGCAAAAGGACAGAGAGTGGTGAAGTGCACATTGGTGGGTATATACATAGAGAGGCACGATAAAGCGCATGAATGAGGAAGTGGCAGTGGAGGACGGCCGAGTCATGTAAGGAAACAAACCAGGCAATCATTGGAAAGGGAGCAGAGAAGCTAAACTGAGCAGGACCATGCTTGGTGCTTGTGTAAGGCTGCTGTGCTGAACTGGAATGAAGGGGGCCTAGAGTAGAGGAGGGAGGTAGCTGGGAGCCCAGATGGCAGCAAACGTGCCTATTTTGTCCTTAGCTTCACTCTGCATGAGCTATATACACTGAGTTCTGGTGGTAAGGCCAATGTAAGACGTTAAAGAAGAGGTAACTTGCTGGTGTGAGGGAAACACAACCCTCAGGTCAAATGTAGAAAAGGGTCACAGGAAAGGCTGGGATGGAAGAGCCTGCTGTAAAGGGCTTAGTCGTGTAATTCCTGTGGTCACGGGACTCCTGACTCAGTCTGAAGGCTAGCTTCTTCTAACAGCTCTGTCTGTATGGGCAGAATAACCTCAGGTCATGCTTTCTCCCGGGTCCTCAGTTTTTACCTTGGCAGTCATCTGGGCTACTGCAAGAACACAATTCCAACAAAAGAGACTGATTTGTCACTAGATCATGATTTCTGAGACAAGCTAGACACCAAACAAAGTTCTTAGCAAAAGAGAAATTGGATTGAGTCATGATAGCAGATGGCTTTCATTCTCACCACTGACTCAATTCTGAAATAATTATATTTCAGCATGGTAATTGCAAGCCGAGCTATATAAACACACTATAAACACCAACTCTGAACAGATGAAAACTCCCATATGTAAAAAGGTAGTGACTGTTGTAGGAAGAGCTTGAAGACGAATAGGAATGAAAATGGGAAAAAAATTAAAATGTTTCTCTTCTAGCTTCTGATAAGAGTAAATGTTTACTATAAAACTCAAATGTTTCAAACACTTTTCATGTCATGCAATATTTCCAGGCTACTGAGTATTTGTAGTTTGAGCTTGAACAGGATGAATCACTGGGGAAAGAAGTTTAGGTTTGGAAAAAAAAAACTACCAGGTACACATTTCAGCACATAAAAACTGTTATGTAGGCCAGGCAATCCTAGCACTAGGAGGCAGAAGCAGGTGGATCTCTGTGAGTTCAAGGCCAGTCTGGTCTACAAGAGCTAGGTTCTAGGACACCTTGGATTGTTACAGAGAAACCCTGTCTCGAAAAACCAAAAAAGAAGAAAAAAAGTGTCACATAGGCATAGTTAAAAGGGTGAAAAGAGTCACCCAGTGACAACAAGGGATCGCCAAATGAGCTGGATGTAGTAGTGCGTGTTTGTGGCTCCAGCAACTTGGGGAGGCTGAGATGAGAAGATCACATGAGCACAGGACAAGCAGACATACAAGACCCCACCTTCAAAGTCACACACTGAAAATAAAAATAAAGCTGCTCCCCCCAAATAACTCAGGGACAGAAGAACATCAGTGCAGAGACCTAGGAACCGAGGCTCTGCTCTACAGCCATCCCAAGGAGCAACTTCTTTTCTTTTACTTTTTCTGGTGGTTGTTTTGCATTGGTTTTGTTTTTTGAGACATGGCAGCCCAGGAATTTGCTATGTAGACCAGACTGGCCTCAAATTCAGAGATCCCCTTGTCTCTGCTCCCAATAGCTGGGATTAAAGTAACAGTTTTTAGTCATGATTAATCAGTTATCCTTAAGAACTCACTGCATGGGCTGGGGTGTGACTCAGCAGCAGAGTGTGCCCAGCACACATCAAGTCTTGGATTAAACTCACACTAACACACAGGGAGAAGGGTTTGTGTAACTGAAAATCTCTGGGTTGGGAATGCAGGTGTAACGCAGCACACCACGGAAAGGCCCTCAGTTCAATCCTAAGAACTGCAAGAAAAATAACAAAGTAGGAGGCTCAGTCCCACTCTAGAACATTCCATATAAATGACTTTAAGCTTTAAAAATGACAATAGAGCTGGAGAGATGGCTCAGAGGTTAAGAGCAATGGCTGCTCTTCCAGAGGTCCTGAGTTCTCTTTGTGTGTGTGTGTGTGTGTGTTTTGCCCCTCCCCTACAGGATTTCTCTGTATAACAGTCCTAGCTCTCCTGGAACTAGCTCTTGTTAGATCAGGCTGGCCTTGAACTCACAGAGATTCACCTGCCTCTGCCTACCAAGTGCTGGGATTAAAGGCCACCACCACCTGGTCCTGAGTTCAATTCCCAGCAACCACATGGTGACTCAAAACCATCTGTAATGAGATCTGATGCCCTCCTCTGGCTGCAGGCAGAATAAAGATACATATAAAATAAATCTTTTTAAAAAATAAAAACGACTATAGTCAACAGTCTAGTTTAAAAATTATTAAAATTGCCAGGTGGTGGTGGTGCATGCCTTTAATCCCAGCACTCAGGGAGGTAGAAGCAGAAGGACCTCTGAGATTGAGGTCAGCCTGGTCTACACAGTGAGTTCCAGGACAGCCAGAACTATACAGTGGGACATGGTTAAAAAAAATAAAAAAGAAGGCCTAAAGTTGACAGGTGCATACCTCTAATTCTCGCTTTGGAGGCTAAGGTAGGAGGACCAAAACCTTTGAGGGCCACCTCAAAGAAAAGGACAAGAGAGTGCAGCCAGAGGCTGAGAATGCTGAGTAACTGAAAGGAAAATGTACCAGTAACTTTCTTTCTTGCCTCTGTAGTTTTTATGTATCTGAATTTTTAACTGATGGTTTAATTTGCTAGAATGAGAAAGAACATTACATTTTTATGACTGAGTCCCGTGGGAATGTAAAATAAATAGACCCAAATGCCACATTATTGAAGACTTTTTGATCACTGTTTGCAATTATCCCCAGTAAGTTTAGGCTTTTCAAAACCAATCTTTCTCTTGCAATGATATTTCTGCCTCTGTGGCTCTGATAGTTCATGGATTTGGCTGTAAATCTCATGTAAGTCTTGTTTTTGTTTAGCTGCAATGCTGAGGGTAGATGCTAGCACTTTTCAAATCTTCTCTCGGAAAACACATCTTCCTTAATCTTATTAACTTGACTTCGAATATGAATAATAAAGCATGAAGGCAAATTTACTTAAATTCACCCATCAACCCATCAAAGGTAAATGAAAAAAATAATAAATAAAAGGTACAACTGGAGATTGGAGAGATGGCTCAGCAGTTGAAAGCACGGGTTGCTCTTTCAGAGGTCCTGAGTTCAATTCCCAGAACCCACATGGCAGCTCACTATCTGATGCCCTCTTCTGGTCTGCAGGAATACATGCAGACAAGGCAACTGTATACATTAAAAGAGAAAGGAAAAAAAATCTTAAAAAAATACAACTGATCAATAATTTTTTTTTCTGCATGTTGACATTTGTGTATGCACATGGAGACTCCAGAATGATGCTGGCTGTCTTCCTTGCTTTCCAGCTTATACACTGATGGTCTTTCGCTTGTTCCTAGAGCTCACCAATGTCTAGCCACCTTGCTCTCAGCATCCTGTTTCTGTGTACCAAGGACTAGGTATGTTGCTACACCTATCTGGCATTTGGGTGGGTGCTGGGGATCCAACTCCAGCTCTTTGTGCTTTCATGGCAAAAGCTTTACCCACTGAGACATCTCTCCAACCCTTTATTTCTGAATGCTGTGCCCTAATAACAATGTATTTTTTAAAAATATCAGAAAGTTGAGCATAGTACACGTGCCTTTAATCCCAGTAAAGGCAGACAAACTGTGAATTCAAGGTCAGTCTGATCTACATAATGACACCCTGTCTAGGAAAACAAACAAACAAATAAATTGGGCTGGGTATATAGTTCAGGGAGAGAGCACGTAAGTAGCACACAAGATTCCCCAACTCAAACCTCAGCACCAAAATAAATATATAAATTATTAACAACTAATTTAAGCAGGGTATGGAGGTACATGCCTTTAATCCCAGCATTTAAGAGGCTGAGACAAGAGGTTATCTGTGACTTCAAGGCCAGCTTGGTCTACACAGTGAATTTCAGGATAGCCAGAGCTACACAGAAAGACCCTGCATCAAAGAAAAACAAAAACAAAACAAAACAGACTCCAGGTCTCTAAGAGGTTGGTTAAAAAGTCTGGTTGAGGTGGCTTGTGCCTTTACTGCTAGCACTCTGAGGGCAGAAGAAGGTGGGTCTCTGTGAGTTCCAGCCAGCTAGGGCTACGTAAAAAGAGAAAAAAGAAAGGGAGGGCTAGAGAGAGGACTCAATGGTTAAGAACACTTTCTGTTCCTTAGAGGACCTGGATTTGGTTCCCAGCATCCATGTCCAGTGACTCACAAAAGCTTGGCACCCTTTTATGGCTTCTGTGGGTACCCACACATGTGGCATTTATATACAGAATATACACACACACAAATTAAAATAAAACAAATATTGGTTTTTATAAAGGAAGAGAAAAAGCAGGAAAGGGTAAATACACAGTGTTTGGAGGTTGTCACAGTTTCATAAGGGCAATTCTGCAGAGTAAGTTCCAGAACAGCCAGGGCTACACAGAGAAAAACAAACAAACACACAGAAAAAGTGGTATGTGAGTCAAGATTTTCCTTTGTTTTCATAAAATGTGATGTTTCTCTTTTTATGTGTCTCTGTGTGTGGCACCTGCAGAAACCAGAAGAGGACAATGACTCCCCTGGAGCTAAAGTTATAAATGATTGTGAACTACCTACCCAATCAGAACGCCAGGAACTGAAGTCCTGTGTCCCAAATGAGCAGCAAGCACTCCTAAGTACTGAGCCTCATAAATCAAGCCTCAAGAATCAAAATTTGCAGTCAGTGGTGGTGGTAGTGGTGTTTGCCTTCAATCCCAGAACTTGAAGGCAGAGGCAGATGGATCTGAGTCCTAGGACAGCCAGAGTCTCAGAAATCAAGCCAGAATAGCCTGGCACCCAATGACCAATCTGCCTCCAGCAGAATGCTGGGAAGCATCTGCCACCACACCCAGCCCAAGATTTACCCTGAACTTTGTTATTTGTGTGTTTCTGTGCAGAGGTTTTTACAAGTGAGTTAAGATGCCCATGGAGGTGACAAGAGTGTCAGAGTCCCTGGAATTAGAGTTATGGGGGGTCATCACTCACCTAACCTGGGCACTAGAAACTGAACTTGAGGCGTCTAAAAGCACAGCATGGACTCTCAACCACCAGCCCTGGCTTAGGCTTTTAAACACTGGTTATGCTTTTTCTCAGCATCATTTATTCGTGGTGCTGAAAACTGAACTTGGAGCCTAAAGCATGCTGGTTAACTTGCTCTGCTTCCAAGGTAGACATCCAGTCCTGAGTAATGAATGAATGAGTGAATGAATGAATAAATAAATAAATAAAAAAGAGGGGGAAAGGGTCGCTTGTCGCAGGCTGGCCTCACAGTCAAAGATGACCTTGAATTCCTTGCTGTGAGGCAATCCTTTAGTACACTGTTCCAATGTGTTGCTGTCATTGGTTTAATCAAGGGCTAAATGGTCAATACCTGGCAGGAAGGTTGGGCGGGAAGGCCAGACTGAGAGAACGCAAGGAAGAAGGGTAGAGTCACCAGGAGACAGGAGAAGCCAGGGAGACACAAAACGAATCGGACACACAAAATGGGATAGAGGTAATAAAGCGATGAGGCACAAAGTAAATTAATAGAAAGGTGATAATTTGGGTTGTAAGGGCTAGTTAGTAACAAGCCTAAACTATCAGGCAAGCATTTATAATTAATACGTCTCCCTCCCTGTTACAGGTGGGACTGAGATGATTGGCAGGATAGAAAACCCCGCCTACAATTCCTAATCCTCCTGACTCCACCTTCTGATGGGACTACAGATATCGGTCCCCAGGCCTAATTTACGAAGTGATGGGAATTGAACCCAGGGCTTCCTGTGTGCTAGACAAGCCACTCTCCTGAGCTATATTCTGAGCCGTAGTGCATAAAATTTTGAAAATTACAAAATTATACACTAAAAACTAACTTCCAAAGGTCCTAGAAGGTCTGAAAACTAGGAATTCCTAAGCACACAAGGGAATTTTCTAGGGTACTAGAAATGTTTCATATCCTGATTGGGGATAGGTACCCAGATAAACACTGGTCCAAACTCACTCTTTTAGCCAGGTGTGGTCGTTTATGCCTATGACCCTTAGCACTCAAGAGGCAGTGGCAGAGTGAGGATTTGAGTTCAAGGCCAACCTAAGCTAGATAGTGAGTGTGAGTCTGATTTGGGCTGTATAGTGTAGCCTATCTTTAAAAAAAAAAAAAAAAGGTGGGGGGAGAAAAAGAAAAGTTCATTCTGCATTAGTTGTGCAAGTATTGCTAAAAGCTTTGAGAACTAACTGGTGGCGTTCTCATTTAAATTTACGGGGTCAGTCTGAGCCAGACAAGATTTTTACTTCATTTTACTAGGGTTATTCTATCGATCTGGTCTTATAGCTGGAGGAAAAGCCTAAGTGTCACTTATTCCAACCAGAACCCTGTCCTAAGCAAGGAAGAACAAATCAAGACAAGCCTTTAGTTGGGAAAAGGGGTTGGGGGCGGGGGTGGCAGAGCGAAGATTTTTCTGCACTTCTAAAACTCTTCAGTTATAAAAATACAAAGTCATTTTGATATTAATAGATTGCTTCTCTCTCTACTATGTAAAGCCACTAATCATACAAAGGACCCCAAATTAATAAATTCTCCCATTAGCCGGGCGGTGGTGGCGCACGCCTTTAATCCCAGCACTCGGGAGGCAGAGGCAGGCGGATCTCTGTGAGTTCGAGACCAGCCTGGTCTACAGAGCTAGTGCCAGGACAGGCTCCAAAGCCACAGAGAAACCCTGTCTCAAAAAACCCCCCAAAAAAATAAATAAATAAATTCTCCCATTGACTTACCAGATTGGACACTCTAGGAGTTTCTGCATAGCATGAAGGACATTTTGTACTTCTTCAATTTGAACAGCGGGTAAATCCATTTCTTCCAGGTCCAGTGAACTTCAATGAAAATTTAAAAACACATGTAATTAAACAACTTTAAAGGTTTTTAGGCTGGGCAGTGCTGGCACAGGCCTTTAATCCCAGCATTCAGGAAGTAGAGATAGGTGGATCTCCATGAGTTTGAGGCCAGCCTGGTCTACAGAGAAACCTTGTCCCCGACCCCTACCAAAAAAAAAAGTTCTTCAACACAGTCACTTATCCGATACTTTTCTTTTCTTTTTTTTGAGGCAAGATCGCATATAACCCACACCAGCTCAGTACTTGGTGCACTCAAGGCTAGTCTTGAACTCTGATCCTTCCGCCTCCACCCCCTTACGCTGGAATTACTGGGGTAAATTATCCTCATCCACCCCCTTTTTGGGAGAGTTCTCACTCCGTAACCCACACAAGCCTGAAACACACTATAAAGCTCAGATTAGCCTCCAACTTGTAGCAGTCCTCCTGCTTCAGCCTCCTGAGTGCTGGGGTTACCACACCTGGTTTGTATTTCTAAATAAGAGAAATTTAATTTTGCTTTAGAATTATACCAACCATAGAGTTGATGAACAACATCTTCATTTTTAAAAAACAAAACAAAAAAAACCCCCCAAAAAACTGAGGGTCTGGAAATGGCTCCCCTCTCCTCCAGAGAACCAGAGGTCAATTCTCAGCACCTATGTCAGGTGTCTGGAAGTCTAGATCCAGGCCAGAAACCCTGCACACATATGTATATAGTTAAAAATAAATAATAAATACGTTATATCTAATTACATAGTAAATGATAAACATTAAAAAATGAATCTTTAAAAAATAAATAAATTCTAACAACTGCTCTTTGCAGTTAGCAATCTAAATTCTCTATTGTTTGACATGTAGCCTTAAAGTCTTCCTTTGGTCTTTCCTTTCTCCAGTAAAAAGGACAGCTACAGTGAAGTTACTGGATAGAAGTGGTAGCCGTGAACTTTCTCCAGACTCCCTACTTTCTTTTTCTTGCTTAAAATCAAAACCAAGCAGGGACAAGTGGTGGCATGTCTAGAGTCCCAGAAAATGGAGAAGCTGAAGGAGAAGAATGGCTTGGTCTCTAAAGTTCAGCAGGCTTCCTGGGCTAGACAGGAGCCCCAAATCAGTCAGGTATGCTGGTGCAAACCTGTACTTCCAGCACTCTGGAGGGGAAGCCAAGAGGACGAGGAGTTCAAAGTCACCAGGAGTTAAGCGCGGAGTTCAAGGCCAACCCGAGTACAGAAGACCCCGTACTCAATACCCCCAAAACTAGGTGGGCATGGTTAGAGGAGGCCTTTAACCCCTTCTCCCCTGAGGCAGGGACAGGCGGATGACGAGGCCTCTACATAAAGAGTTCAAAAAGCCAGAGACACCTATATAATGAGATTCTGTCTTAGAAACTAACCAAACAAAATACTAAAACCAAAACAGACGAAAAGAAACTCACCTTTTTTTTTTTTTTGTCACCCAAAACGAACACTAAAACTGCTAATGCTTCTCCACCCTATACCCCTTCTGGGGGTTTCCTTGTTAGGGCACTTAACCTCAAGACTCTCTTTAAACACGTCTCCCCCGCCAAAATCATTCACCAATACTGGCATTCCTTCATGCACTTCCCTTATAATAGAACCTCCTGTGAACTGTAGCTGAATTTCCTGGCCACACGTCTGCCCTTCCTTTCCTCTCACTTACCCTTCAGCCAGCTCCTTACACTGCCTTCAAGTCACGATCACAGGCAGGGCTCCCCTCACACAGCCCTTGCCTTCTTCCTCACAGCTGTCTCAGGGACGGCACCGACTGCACCCCTCCCAGGAGTCCTCTCGGTTTCTTTCACGAGGCTTTGGACCCTTTGGTTCCGCCCCAGTCATTCTCCTCCTCGGTAAACACCCGTCTGCACCTGCAGTTTCCCGCCCTTCAAATGAGTATCGCTAGCTACCCTCTCCGATCCTCCGGACTGTCTCACCTTTACTCCGAGCAAAACATCCGTGCTCCCGAATGCCGAGGCCCAAATCCCGGAGGAGCCGCTCGGACACCAGTGGGTCCAACCGCGGCACCGCCGCGCAGCCGCATTTACAATTTATCTGTATTTCCCGCGCTCTCTGTCGCCAAGGAAACCGACTGCTTGGCGCCTACTGCTAGCCTCTAGGAACACAAGATCCAGACACGTCAGCGGAAGAGGGAGGGGGAGTAGCCACTCTTTCCGGGCTCGGGATTGGCCACCTAGTCTTTCCCTGTGTGTCGTAACTAAAAAGAGACGGAAGAGAAAGAATTTTGAGTTTCCTATCAGGCAGCCGCCCCTTCCCATCTACGCTTGCTTATTACGTCACAGTAATTTTATACAAAGGGTCGGAATAGCGACCTGAGGCCGGAATATGAGCGCAAGGTAGTGCCCAAAGCAGTTGCAGGACGAGGCCTCATCCCTCCCTTAGCCTTCCTGCCATGGAAGTCTCCAGTTTAGGCAAATAAAAGATTGTGTAAAAAAAGAACTACCAATTCCAGCATGCATTGCGGAACGAAAGGCCATCACCACAGCATCCCTTGGAAACTGTAGTCTTAAGAGAGAGGAGCTTCCAACACCGGAAGCAGGCACGGTTACCACAGCAAGCCAGTTCATACAGCGGAGACCTTCTCGCGGTTATGCGGGCTAGCTGCTATGCATCGCAGAGTTCTGTTTTCATGTCTTGCTCACAAAGAATAGACTAAAAGAAGCTGCAAGTCCCAGGGAGACTACAATTCCCATCCAGCCCCGCGAATCTTGTGTACCTAGTCCTCCAAGGTCAGTGACCTTCGGGAATGCAGAGGGCGGCCAATCGGCTTGGGAAAGGGAACTCCACTCGGCTGACACCTGCGCACTAGTTCCGCCCCTCGGCCGGGGTGTTTGTTATTGTTGTGCGGTTCAGATAGCTTCTGTCCCGCCCTTGCCAGCGCAGCATTGACCAATCGGTAGAGTGGTGATTTTGAGGGACAAATAGTACGAACCAATCATCTGATCGGAAACTCAGAAACAGGGACTAGGCCGGGTCTCTGTCCGCCATGTTAGATTCACCCCGCAGGGATAGCAGCCTAGCTGGCAGCGAACGGTCCCTGCACTGGCCACGGGCAAGCGCCCCCCGTGGGCCGAAAGCTGGTAAGAAAGCCACCGCCGTTACCTAGTTGTCGATCTTTGAGGCTCAGGGAAGTTCAAGGGGGAGAATCTTCGAAATGGAGGAGTGACTTTTTCCGTGTTCAGGGGCAGCCTGTCCTTTCAGTGAGCAGATGAAAGAGCTGCTTGGGTTGTCAGCGACAGTGGGGGGGTGGATACTGCCTGAGGGAGAGTGTTTCTGCTAGGAGAAGGTCGTCATCCCTCCCCCCCCCCCCCCGTACAAAAAGAGGGCCTCCGGTGATGGTGGTGACACTGTCCTGGGGATATGGAGTTCCAGGAAACGATTACTGGAAGACTGGGATTGAGTGTGTGAGAAGAAAGGACACGCATCTTCCTCATTCTAACCTTTCCGCTTTTTTTGAGACTCCATTGGAGATATCTTAATCTAGGACCTTGCGTGTTAGAGGGGCTTCGTTTTCCCTTTTCGTCAAGCCCCCAGCTTTACGATCACCCATTTTAAAGCTCAGGTGGAGACAATAAAGTTCAGACTCCCAGGTCGCCTTTATTAACATTATTTGTAGAGGTTGGAAAAATTCGTACGGGGAAAAGCTGACTTTTGCCACGTGCATGGGAGTCAATAAGGCATGCGTTTACGGTGCCACTTAAGAAAGCTGCTGGCTTAGGCCCAGCTGACCTGACTGCTGGCTGCTAACCAACCGGTAATAGATGGGGTTAACTGTACCTTTGGTATTTTCACAAGTTCAAGATTAAGGCTCCTGCTGAACGCTTTTTCCCACATAAGCCAAAGGCAGGTAGGCCTTTGTGAAGACCTGTGTACCGACCCCCTAACCTAGACCCTCCCACTTCCTGTTTTCTCCCATTGAGAGCAGCTGGAGGAACTCCAAAGCGTGGAAACTAGTTCCACCTCATGTGATTGGAGAACGGGGAAGATAGAAGTTGCAGAGGGTCCTTGTATTTCAGAATTTTTACCTTTGGCAAACTCAGTCACTTCATTTTCCTCATTTCAGACAAACAAACAAAAAGCTCCAGCAGCCTGGGGAATTGGTGGGATTCTGCCTAAATTTTAAAGAACCTAAGGAAGAATTGCATTTTAGGTGAATGAGTGCTGGAAGTCAACAGGATGGGTGCTAGAGACTAGTATTACTTTGGCAGTGAACTTAACTATAGATGAAGACAAATCAGAGGAAAGGTTCAATAATTGAGTGTCTAAAATAATCAGTAAGTAAGAACCCAAGGCTCCCAAAATGACAGTTGTAGCCACAGTGCCATACTCTGGAAGCAGAAGCAGGCAAATCTCTGTAAGTTGGAACCAGGTCTATATACAGCAATTCCCAGGCCAGTGTGGGCTACAGAGTGAGACCATCTCCCCTCATCCCAAAAAAGGAATAAGACAAAAGCTATCTTTTGTTTTTTGAGATAGTGTTTCTCTGTAGCTTTGGAGCCTGTC